CACTGCAAGCCTCCTTCATGCCACGCTCCCTGCCTTCTCTATTGGCCCATACAGTTGGAAAGCCTCTCTGAATATCTGAAAGGATGCAGAGGAGTTAGTCAGGAATCATTTCATGCAGCTATGTCCCACAAAAACACATAAAGCAGCATTTTCAATATTTTCGCTGTGTCCACCACAGACCTCACATTCCGCTTGACAATTGATGCAAAAAGTGGTTTATATTTTACCCTCCTTGCTTTCAGTTTGGCACCCACTCTGCATCCTTGATGTCTCCTCTTTAACTCGTTAATGAGTTCTTCTCCACTGGCGGTACTGAAAATCTAGCTGAAGTTAGTAGCTGCTCACAGAGGAAAACAATACTACACAAAGATGCCCTGCTGTAATCTGTGTTGCTGCAGTGTTTGTGCTGTCCACTCTGATATTCTGGGTTAGATTTGGGTTCAAATATGATGAATGGATTTGAGAAGTTTCCATTTCCAATCAAAAACAAGAAATTACTAGTAGGTTTACAATTTTCTTCGGAGCCTCCATGCAGGCAAGAGGATGAGGCGGTGTTCACAAATAAAGACTTCAGCAAAGGCAGCCAATCAGAAGAAAGTGGGCTTTTAGAGAGAGGACCTTCAGGAGACAGGAACTCAAACAACTTGTTTCAAACAGGATAAACTAAGCAGCTGCATAACAGGCAATTTTAGATAAAGATTCTTTGGGTTGTGCAAAGCTGTAGCAGTGAGGTCCCAGATAAAAAAGAAAAAAGAAAAGAAAAGAAAAGAAAATGAGCATAATGATTCCCCTTTAACAACTGTATCTGTAGAGTTGCTCCAAGAATTACTTAGTTATTTTCATTCCATTTCTTTCAATAATTTGATGCACCTTTAGTGATGTGGTGGCAACATTTTTTCCCCCTTTGCCAGGAGTAGATTCTTACCAGGGACAATCTTCTCATGTTTAGTGTGCATGCTTATCCAACTCCCAGTCAGTTAAGGTGAGTTGGGAGTATGAGACTTCAGCTCTGATGCACATCAGAAAGCAACTGTCATTCTGCCAGAGCACTGGAGGCAAAACAGAAAGCCTAAGCTTCAGGTGGCCTGTCAGGAGGAGGTGGATATTACCAGGGTGGACCCAGTTGTGGATCACGTATCACTTCCACTGACAGGTGAAGGCACAGGCAGTCTGGACACTATAGCAGATGTATTGTAACCATTTTAATACGCTTTGGCACAATACTTTCCAAGCTGCTTTTTGACAACATTAGGATGTATTTGCAGGTTTACCTAGGGCCCGACCGATATGTATTTTTTTGAAGCCGATGCAGATTCTGATATTTGGCAAAAAAAAAAAATTCTGATAACCGATTAATCGGCCGATTAATTTAAAAAAAAATATATATAATGAATAAAATAGCTTCTTTTTTGGTCCCTTAATGCTTACAACAACAAAGATATGAATCCCAGGCAGAACATTTCACTGTTTTACAACACTTTGTCCTTTAGTATTTGTTTAACTTTACAACAGAGAGAAATTTTTGAATACAAAAACATGCAGCAAGGCATAATATGCATCAGCAAAAGAAAAATTTTGCAAACAAATATGTCTGTAATGCGGGCTATTTTATTTTAAATTTGCATTGTGCATTTTTCTTTCTATGGAGCATGCATGAATATCGCTACTGGTTGTACTGATGAATTTATCTTTAGATTTAGGCCACAGGTGTATGCTGTACATGAGCAACATAATGAGTGAAGTTACTGGCAAAACATTATTCATGCAGCCAACTGATGTTCTGTGCTCTCAAAGACTGTGCTGTCTTTAAAATTGATGAGAATAAGTTAATAAAAATGTAAGTTATAAGTTAGTTAAAAAGTTGGATAAAAAGTTGTTTTCTGTAGATCTCTGAAAACCCGTCAGAGTGAGCGCTCTGTGCACTGTTTTGGTTTCAGACTTTGCGGCAGAGTGAGTGATCTTACCGCTCTGCAGTCGTAAGCTATCTTAACTGTTCATCATCTCCGTGAGCCAAGTTTGACTTGTTTACAAGCAGCAGCAAAAACTGAGCTTTTCCTGGTGTTGCTTAAGTGTTTTTCATACACTCTTGCCTTGGAGAATATTTGTCTTTTTACAGAATCAAATTGTACAAAATGAATGTACAAAAGCGACTGTGACACTTAACAGCATTTACTAGTTTAGGAAAAATTAAGAATATATCGCCGATTGTTCGGCAAAACTCCGGCCGATTATGAATATTTTGAAAAGGGCTATAATCGGCCGATTTAATCGACCAGCCGATAAATCGGTCAGACCCGAGGTTTATCGACTGTCTGTGGCATCTTCTGTAATGTTCTCACACTTGGAATCAAATATGCAGATTTAATAGAAACAACATTGTTTTAAGAATCCTGACCTGACGAATCACCCGTCTTCTGGGGACAGTTGGCCTGGAAGGTAGAATTGGTTGAATGTGTCTTTGTTGACTTTGTGTAAGAGCAGCACAGGTGTAATATGTGACGCTGTTACACAGACTGGTTCGATAAACACTATTTGTGTGTTTGCATGTTGAAATGTCCTTGGGAAAGACACTAAGGCAGGCCTTGCATGTCGCAATGTGTGTGTGAATGGGTGAATGGAAAACATGTACAGCGGTTTGAGCACCAATAAGGTAGAAAAGAGCTTTGTAATTGCAGACCATTTACATTCATTCATTCACTTCAAAACAGGAGATCGAGCGCCTTCTCCTTGACCAGATGATTTCAGACAACAGTCCAATTAATAAATACAAACACACTATTATGAGTGACAAAGTGTTGGATGGAGACGGACTGATGGTAGTAAGATGAGAGAAGTGGCACAGCACTCTCAGATTTGCTGCTGGTGCTGTTAGGACATGACCCCGTAAAAATGCTCTGTGGTTAAAGGCTCAGACCACATAGCAACAATGTCCATGCTTCAGTTTCTGGCTGGCCCATGATAAGGCTGAACAATTAATCAGAGTCAAATGAAAAACATTATATGGAGCAATGCAATTCAGACATTGCAAAGGCCGCAATTTAGAAAACCTATTTTTCGGCTGGTCTGACCCAGTGTATAAACTGTGATGTTTATACACTAACTATAGCACACTAACATTTCAATATTTGAAAAAAAACAATGAGTACAACTGATGGTGATAAGAATGTGGTACGTTTTGAGCATATTATGTCATAATTTCCAATTTTGACCCATCCAGGAGATGTTTGACTGGATATTTGCACATAAAAAATGACATAGTCACATTGGTTTTGAACTGTGTGGCAGAGGAATGACAATTCATTTCTCCGTCCACTCACCTTCCACGGAGCTGCTGGTTGTGCAGGGTAGGCAAACGATTTAATTGGCTGGACTGAGTGGGGCTATTGCCGTATTAACTGGAGTAGCAGCGGCCGCTGTCTGTAGCTGCGACCATCAGAAAAAATGCTCCATGAAAATCTGTTCTCGTGAATTTATCAGAGATTAGTCATGGGTCCGGGCAGAACCATCACTCGATCTGGATCCGGACCGAGGTCCACCATTTGGTGATGCCTGTTCTAAACATTCCATTGTAAATGCAAAGATGAAATTGTACTAAAGCGTCATGGTTTTGCAGCTTTTTGGAACCCCTAGGTTACACTTTCTTAAGTTGCAGGGGGAAAAGGTTGTAAATGAATAGACTTTGAACCATGCATGTACATCTGTATTTACAGAGCTGGATGCATCACTGCTGCTTAGCCATGCAACTTTTTTTCAATGAGATGTCTGTAAAGTTGCTGACAGCCAATTTAACCCATGGCATTAACACATGGGCTCATGCACCAGGCAAACGTTTTTATATAAGTGAATGGGTGCAGTCTTTGGGTTGAGTAGCCAGTTTTGTTCAAGGCATCCATGGCTGGAATCCTATTGTAGCTGTACTTTGTGAGTTAGGATGATTGATTTCCTGTAGATATAGTTACAATGCTAGTACATTTTTCTGAAGTAAATATTATATATACCTATTCAGTAGTTATTAAAGGGATGTGAGAACAGCTTGTCATTGATCCTCTCTGCTTTGTGCAGATGGGTTTTCCACAAACTGTTGTCTCCTCTGCCAGTAGTGCAGAGGTGTTGGGTTTCCCACTCAATAGAAGCAAATGGTCTCAGTCAAACAGGATTAGCAACTGATCTGTCAGAGAGGAATTTAGAAATATAACAGGTGAACGGCGCTATACTAGTAAGCTAATGGCTCACATCATTGCTGTTTGGTTTCTCCCTGCCCCACACTCCAGGATGCCAGAGTGAACCCACAAGCAGATATCCAAGTAACTGTTAATAAGCCACCAGGACGGGTAGTCAGGCTACCTGTAATTAGTGTAATGGCCCCAGGTATACTGATACAGGGGCTTCATTCTCTGGCTGGCTTTGTTTGCTCTTCTTGTTTTTCATCAGTGTTTTCATAGTGTTGACATCTGCCCCCAAACCTCAGTGCAGCATATATGTTTCACTTGGCACCATCATATTTTCCATTCCTGTCCACTCTGCATCCCACCTCACCATGTGATTGTCAGGGGAACTGATCAGTTTTTATATTGTCAGTATAGATGGTAATGCACGAGTGTTACCATTTCTAATAACTAATGTATACAGTATGTACGTATAAATATGTAGGTATTAATTAACAATATAGAATTGCATATTTTGTAATTGCATTAAAAAAAAGAACACAGATGGAAAACAAAACAAACAACTAATACCAATGTGTTTGAAGATTTTTTTAACAGATTTCCAAAACATATAAAATATCATTCTAATGTAGTAATTTAATATGTCTTTCATTTTTTAGGTGATCTAAATTAACTCCTGTTGTTTTAGCGTGCCCTATAAAGATATGCAGTTGGGCTCATAGGTTTATAGGAAGTAACCTGTGCATGGCACACAGTTGTTGATTGTGTGTTATTGTTTTGGTATGAAGGCCTCTTTCACCACTCTGCTTAACTTCCTCTCTTTTTGTGTCTCAGCGCAGCATTGATGGTTTCTGGAAGTCAGTGGCCAGGCATGTTCCAAGGGAGCCCAGTGACATGCGCATCTTGAATCCTTACTTTATCCAAGAGGCCTCCTTCAAGCTGATTGGCTTACCTTACAACAATGGACAGATGGGCAGAGGGGTGAGAGACCTGTTGTTTCCCTAGCTGTCAGTTTCTGTTCCCTTTTAGGTAGAGAGGAAAGGTGAGATGTTTCAGACACAGCAGTTATTTAACAGTCAGAGCTGGAGCCCTGGTAGCTGATTTCCCCGTCTGTTTGCTTTATGAAGGCTTCTGCGAACACACAGCAGATGCTGCAGGGAGCCGAGCAGCCACACAGTCTGACACCTCTCTGAAAATAAACACTGTTGCCATTAGGCTGTTATAAATAGTGTCATGCTTCAGAGTTCACATACACTTCTGATCAAAATCTTAAGACCAGTTAAAAAATTGCATGAATTTGCATTTTGCACTGTTGGATCTTAGGAAGGTTCTAAGTAGAGCTTCAAAATGCAAAAAGAAGAAATGGGAACAACTGACCAAAAGTTGTGAGCAGGCAGTTTATTGAAAACAACAATTTCACTCAAATAGGCTGTTCATCAGCTGATCAAAAGTTTAACATCACAGCCTTTAAAAGCCAAAATCTGTGCAAAAATTTGGATTCCATGTCATTTCCTCACAAGTAATCACACTGTGAAGATCTCTTGATGGCAAAGGCAAAAAAGCTCACCGTCTTTGAACGGGGTAGGACTGTTGAGCTGCATAAACAAGGCCTCTCACAACGTGCCATTGCTGCTGAGGTTGGACACAGTAAGACAGTCATTTTGCATTTCTTAAAAGATCCTCAGGGTTATGGAACAAAAAAATCAAGTGGTTGACCCAAAAAAATCTCAGCACTGAGCCGGAGGATCCGAATGGCTGACCGTCAAGACGCGGCACAATCCTCGTCCCAAATTAAGGCCATGACTGGTGCTGACTGCAGCCCAATAACCATCAGACGGCATCTGTGAAGGAAGGGCTTCAAAAACAAGAAACGTCTTCAAAGGCCAAGTCTTCTTCAATGCCACAAAATTGCCCATTTGGACTTTGCAAGGGAGCACCAAACATGAGACATTCAAAGGTGGAAGAAAGTTTTATTCTCTGACGAGAAAAAATTTAACCTTGATGGTCCTGATGGCTACCAACATTACTGGCATAACAAGGAGATGCTACCTGAGATGTTTTCTACGCAGCACAATGGAGGGGGCGCCATCATGATCTCGGGTGCTTTTTCCTTCAATGGAACAATGGAGCTCCAGGTTGTGCAGGGGCGTCAAACAGCAGCTGGCTATGTGAAGATGTTGCAGCGGGCATTCCTCATGACTGAGGGCCCTCTTCTGTGTGGCAATGACTGGGTTTTTCAGCAGGACAACGCTCCAATTCACAATGCCCATCTGACCAAGACCTTTTTCAGGGAGAACAACATCACTCTTTTGGACCATCCTGCGTGTTCCCCTGATCTTAATCCAACTGAGAACATTTGAGGATGGATGGCAAGGGAGGTTTACAAAAGTGGACATCAGTTCCAGACAGTGGATACCGTTCGCGAAGCCATCATCACCTCTTGGAACAACATTCCCACTGGCCTTTTGGAAACACTTGCATCAAGCATTCCAAAACGAATTTTTGAAGTGATCCACAATAATGGTGGAGCTACTCATTACTGAGTCAGTTTTTGACACTTTAATTTATGTTTTAGGAGGTTTTGTGGTTTTTTTGAGCTGTGATGTTAAACTTTTGATCAGCTGATGAACAGCCTATTTGAGTGAAATTGTTGTTTTCAATAAATTGCCTGCTCACAACTTTTGGTCACTTGTTCCCATTTCTTCTTTTTGCATTTTGAAGCTCTACTTTGAACCTTCCTAAGACCCAACAGTGCAAAATGCAAATTCATGCAATTTTTTAACTGGTCTTCAGATTTTGATCAGGAATGTATGTCAGTTATCTACACAATAACCACAGTCCAAAGAGGCTCTGCTCCACATTCATGTATGTACACTACTTACTGTACAACCCAGTCTCATGGCAATTTGTACAATAGTCACAAAATTTAATCTATTGTTTCGTGTCCTGGGACACGATTTGCCTGACTTTTTCGTGTTCCCCAACATGAGTTTCAAACCAATACATTTCAATTGAAATTATCTTTTGTGTCTGGCACACATTTTTCCATATCAGACAGCGCATATACTGTAATGCTTTTGTTGTTCTTTTCTTCCAACAGTCAGGCATTAATCAATTTTAATGTTATGGCCCGTCCACACTAATAACTATAAGGTCACTATACAGATGTGTGTATACACCGGCGCTGAGCAGCTCCACCTGCTATAAGCTCAGTATTCATTAATAGAAAAGACAAGAAATATATCCAGGCAGAGAGAAACTGTTCTAAGATCGCTCTGAAAGTGATCCCAACGATATCGTTCATAGCAATTATCGTTTATTTGTGGTAAAATACATGTGCTTTTACTGTGTTTGGGCTACATGCTTGTCGTTACTTTCATTTCTCTGTAAACGAATACAAGGCTGAAAAGAAGGACACATGCAGGAAAACGACGACTGGAAGATGTACTGTGATTGCAGTGATAGATAATCTGACTATTGTAACTGAGAGGCCAGCAGTGGGGAATGTATCTGTAGCTTTGTGCAGCTTTTAGCTAGCTTGTCATGGCTGTCTACATTAGCTACTAGCCTAGCTGCTGCGGCTGCTGCTGCTGCTGCATCTTCTTCTATTGATTTGGCGGTTGGCATCCAACGTTCAGTTGCATTTCTGCCACCTACTGTACACACAAAAACATTACAGATCTTGTAGGACGGATGTCTTCCAGGTCTACAGCAAGGCTGCACACCGACCCTAACAAGGTCGCCTTAGCAACGAGCGCAAATTTCCCCCAAACACTGCCAGTATAATAAAAATACCACAATATGATGTACTCTTTTACACTTATTTCATACTACTCATATTATACTTTAACAGTTGCACATTTGTCAGTATTTCAATCCATTTATTTTAGTTTATTAATACAAAAACACAAAACTAGTTGTAAACCCCAAGAAGAACTTGTAGTTCATTCTTCAAAATAGCCGTTTCTCCAAAATGGAGGGTGAAATATAAAACTTTAAGTCCATTTAGGGGTTTAAATTGATGAGGTGCATGTTTATTTGGACTAACTTTACAAAAGAAATTTGTCAAATGTTCGTAAAGGTGCTATACAAATAAAGTTATTATTATTATTAATAATAGTAATAATAATAGTAATTGTATTATCATTATGACATACTGCATAGCCATATAGCCATATGACTGTTGTTAAAACACACGAATGAGTGTAGCCCTGAAATTGTTTTCCTTAGGAGATAAAGCAGCCGGTAAGGATGTCCTCAATGTTGGGGTTAGGATAGTATGAAACAGGATCTAACCAGGAAAAACATCTTTATCAAGACCAAAAATGATACCCATGGGTTCCAGTAAGTCAAAACAAAGCTGTCATCGATGAATTTACCCACTATGTTTAATAAAATTATTTTAATTTCATTTTATCCACTTGAGCTTTGCACGTCTCCTGGAAAACTATACCTGACACAGGGCTGGGTCCAGAGGGGTGAAAATTTAAACTTTGTCATAGGACTAAACATGATACATCATTGGAAAGGGCCTGATCTGGGGAATATGATTATGTCAGTCTGGAAGCTTGAAGTTTCTCTTGCTCAGAGACATTGACCTTTGAACTATGACTTTGGTGCACCTTTTAAAGCTTCTAATTCAACAATGAAAGGGGCTAGAATCATGGGACAAACTGTTATACAAAGCTCTTGACTTCTACGATCATGTAGGCTGTGGCTTGATGTTCTCACCAGCAGGGGGCATCACAAAATGTGGTAAAAATTTAATTTCACCTATATATATCAATTTCATTTGTTAAGTCAGTCCAAATAAACATGGTCCTCATTAATTTAAACCCCTAAATGCACCTAAAGTTTTTTATTTCACCCTCCATTTAGGAGAAACAACTATTTTGAAGAATGAACTACAACTTCCAGTAGCATGACAATACAACGTGATTGGACACGCCATGAAATATGTAATTCTTTTTGGGGTTTACAGCTATGGTTGTGTTTTTGTATTAATAAACTAAAATAAACGGATTGAAGTACTGACAAATGTGCTATTGTTAAAGCATGATATGTGTAGTATGAAATAAGTTTAAAAGAGTACATCATATTGTGGTATTTTTTATGTTTTTATTACACCGGCAGTGTTTGAGGGAAAGTTGCACTCGTTGCTACCGTTGGCGGTAATGCACCTGAACGTTGGATGCCAACCGCCAAATCAATAGAAGAAGATGCAGCAGCAGCAGCAGCCGCAGCAGCTAGGCTAGTAGCTAATGTAGACAGCCATGACAAGCTAGCTAAAAACTGCACAAAGCTACAGATACATTCCCCACTGCTGGCCTCTCAGTTACAATAGTCAGATTAACTATCACTGCAATCAAAGTATATCTTCCGGTCACCGTTTTCCAGCATGTGTCCTTTTCAGCCTTGTATTCGTTTACAGAGAAATGAAAGTAACGACGAGCATGTAGCCCAAACACAATAAAAGCACATATATTTTACCATATATAAACGGTAATTGCTATGAATGATATCGTTGGGATCACTTTCAGAGCGATCTTAGAACAGTTTCTCTCTGCCTGGATATATTTCTTGTCTTTTCTATTAATGAATACTGAGCTTATAACAGGTGGAGCACACGGTAGCTGCTCAGCACCGTTGTTTACAGAATGTTAACGTTGGTCAGTGTGGGCGCACACATCTGTATAGTGATCTTATAGTTATTAGTGTGGACGGGCCATAACATTAAAATTGGTTAGTGCCTGACTGTCGGAAGAAAAGAACGACAAAAGCATTACAGTATATGCGCTGTCTGATAAGGAAAAAACGTGTCCCAGACACGAAAGATAATACCAATTGAAATGTATTGGTTTGAAATTCATGCTGGGGAACGCGGAAAAAGTCGGGCAAATCGTGTCCCAGGACACAACACAATAGATTACATTTTGTGACTATATTACAAATTGCCGTGAGACTGGGTTGTACTGGACATATTTTGGGATGTACAGGTTAGTGCTCAGTTCTCTGGTTCATAGAAATTATTCATGTCTGTTTTTCAGAATATTCCAACCTTGGGGACAGTTGCCATAACAATGGCCCTCCATAACTGTGATGAAGTAGCCGTGGCTGGATTTGGCTACAACATGAGTACCCCCCACGCCCCACTGCACTACTATGAGAAGATCAGGATGTCAGCCATTAAAGAGGTCACTGAAGACCGTGTTTATTAGGATACCTACATTAGAAAAAGGAAACAGTTGTAGTGTAGGTTGATGATTCAGCCTCTCCATCGACATGTGTGACCCACTATTCCCCGCATACTTTACTCTTCGTGGACGATACTCCCACATAATATTCACAACCCCACATTTGTTACTACTGACGTGTCAGCCAACATCCTTTTTGTTAGTTTTTCAGGTTTACCCTTACTGGATCAGTTTGCCGTGACCTTTCTCTCATTTTAAAAGCTTCTCGTGAAGGTTTGCCCAGCATGTTCAGTAGTAGCTTGGGATAGGTATGAGATCAGTCACAGAGCACTACATACAGTGTCGAGCTGCCATCCACACCACTTCACAATCTCATAAATCACTTTAACCCAGGCTGTCGAGACACACATAGAATCCCTGTCATACTGTTTTCACCAACTGCCACTGACTTGTGTTTAATATAAAGAGGCACAGAGCTGTAGCTCTGCCACCTAGCATCCTTCTCTTTTGTTCCATTCTGAGTTCATTCTTGCATAGTTATGTTTTCTTGAGACATTTGTTTTTACAAATGCAACTGGAAATGAAGTAAGATGCACTATTTAAATTAAAAAACAGTACTTGCTTACAGCCTCTGTTCTCTCTGCAGTCCTGGACTCACAACATATCTAAAGAGAAGGAGTTCCTGATGAAGCTCGTGAAGGCTGGAGTTATCCAGGACTTGACCAGTGGGGTCTGTGGTGCAGGATGCTGATGGTCTCCACTCAGATTCACAGCTCCTGGCCTGTAGCACTGTGCTCAACCTCCTCCAGCGACTGAAGAGGGAAACTCAAGGCGCTGTGGGCCATGTTCCCAGCAGAGCGCAGCAGCTGCCACACACCATGGTCCCTGCAGACACACTGTGTGTATGTGAGGCTTACTGAGCAGGACACACTGCCCCAGTGTTATATATTAACATGTTGCAAGCAACTGGCCTCTGCATTGTGTCACAGTATTTAGCTTTGTCTAGCTACAGGTTAGTGTATATTTATATGGATTTGGGGTCCTGGCTCAGGGGTACATGTTTGGTTGCAGTGCGTTAAACCAGCACCTGGATATGGCTTCCCTCCTGCTACTGAAGCGAGAATAAAATAATGAGTTTAAACATTGAGCCTGTGCCAAGAATACCTCTCTAAGTGTCCTTCTGCTCATACATGTGAATGTAATCCATATCAAACGTACAGTCACCAATTTGTATCTTCCAGTTGTTGTATTAAACAGGGTGCACACTACATGACATGTGACCTAGCCATCCTGGACCAGGGTAACACCCCCGTATCAGAGCAACATGGCAATCATCAGAGCTTGTTTGTTCTGTGGGTCAGAGTCAGTATGTAGCTAATAAGATCTTCACGTTCAAACGCACAGTCTCGCTTTCTATACTGATCAGGCAGATGCAACCTTCTGTGTCCACTGGACTTCACTTTATTCTTGGCCAGAACAGCTTGTGTCTCTGAAGCATGAAATTCCCTTATGAATGTACATTAATGACTGATTTTGTTAACTGTTGACTTCAAACTGATACTTTTGACAATTTTCTTTCCTGACTTTGCCTTTACACACAGAAAAGCTAATCTTACTTGCACTTGTGACTTTATGTCACTTCCTCTTTAAGCCTGCGAAGGAGAAGGAATACTACAGCTTTCTCTCTGCTGACATTCAGTGTTCAGAAGTTACAGATAGAACATAGAAATAAAAGTGCTGTAGTACAGTAATTCAATCCAGCCACACAGTATTTACTGCTGATCATAAATAATCCCACATGAGTAGCAAGCATGCTTCCAATATTCTGTCAAAGAATAAATTTGTGCTTCTGAAACAACTAAAATATTCGTTTCCACATTTCAGTGGACATGAGCAGTTACCCCACAGTCTTAAAGTAGAATTTTTTAATGCGTGGCCTGCATCTAGATCACACCGTTGATCGCTGATTGATGTGTTTGCCACAGAAGTTAGTTCAGAGGACAAACTGGTTCAATCTCAGTGTTTTTCTTACAGTAGTGTGATGCTGTCTTTACTTTACTTGAGGTTTTTGTTTCTAGCTCATCAGCCAGAGTTGTCAGTGTGCCGAACACTGCTATTATGTGCTCATCCCACTCAAAGAAGACAGGCGCTTTTGTGTTTCAGTTATTTTTGTAAGAATGCTGAGTAATAGAGAGCATATGTAGAGTACAGTGCTCAAACACCTGTACATCACAGCTGTTTCTGTCTGACTGATGAAATGAGTTTTTTGCATGAATGCTTTTAATCATATCCCGCTGCAGTGTTTTCTGTCACACCTGGGTCCCGTTCTTCTGTACAAATGACTTGGCTTGATGAGGTTGTTGATGATCTGACACTGGATTTCTCAGCTTCTCAAAGCTGGATTGAACTCTAACTTTGGAACTTTTGTCTCCTCCCTCTGGTCGTGACAGCAATTACACAGACAGCATTGGTATGACACTTGTCTCATCATCAATCTTTCTTTTTTAAACTGCAGTCCTTTCTATGAATGCAGAGTTTTTGTTTATCTGGAGCATCAGAAATTTTTCCTGATTATTTTGTAGTCTCCTTTATCTCTGTTGCTCCAGTTGCTTCCCTCTCTCAGGTGGTCTCCTTCCCTGAGCCTGATTCTATCTGATTTTTTTTTTCCCTCCCCATTAAAGGCGAGGTTTTTTTGGTTCCTTCCCACTGTCACCGACTGTTTGCTCAGAGGGAATCCAAAGGGAACTTTGGATTGTTGGTTTCTCTTTTTAAAATTTGTAAGGTCTATACCTTTACTAGGTTAGGTGCTATGAAATAACATATGTTGTGAACTGGCACTTTATAAATAAAATTGAATTGAACTGAATTTGTGTAGTACAGAAGTTAATTATCACATTTAATTTTACAAGAGTAAAATGTGTATTTAGGATGAAATAAATTACACAACAAAGCAAATGAGCAATGAACTAATTGTCTAAGCCAAACATAGTTTTGGATACACAGTTTGCTATAACCAAATGAAGTACCTTCACCCCAACACTTCCCAATGTTTGACCAATGACACAAGAAAAAAAATGTGATCAACTAAGTTGATGTGGGTGTTGTACATTTTGATGATTTTATTTTTATTGATGTATTTGTTTAGTGGGTTCCTGTTTTTGTGTCTTGTGTGCATGCCGTGAGGGTGGGTGGCACAGTCTACATTTCTACTAATGACGTCACACTACTCCAGTAATTTATAGGTTGCAGTAATGGACAAGTACACAAGTAAAGACATCTAGTACAGGCAGGTGAACACAGATGAAAACAATGTTTAGACCTCGAGGATACATGCTGTGGTTTGGTGATCAACTACAAATGTAAATGCAGCAAAGCAACGCCACAGGACATCTTTAGGCTGGTTACTTGATTTCACTATGGATATAGTTCAGCCACTTTTAAAGAACAGGTTCCAGGTCTGAATTTGAAGCATTTTCTGCCTAAAATGTATTTTAAGTGCACTGAATGTGTGGTGTCAGGCTATACTGATGTTGATTTTAAAGACCCTTCTCTTCACATGTTCAAAAACTCCGTCTGACCTTCCCCTTTTCTTTTGATCAACAGCAGAACAGCTCATTCTAAATATTTGTGTGTCCATCGAACACAGAAACATTCCCCTCAGTCTCTTCACTCAGTCCAGCCAAAGGCTGCTATCTCAGGCCCTCAGACATTTCTCACAATCAGTGTTGCTATCAAACATATAAACTGAGCTTTATCAATCTGTCTCATTTTATTTACCAAGATCAACTGTATTGTGGAGCCTGTATGTGTGTTGGTGTTGCTTAATACACTCTGACATGCACAGTTTGTGCTCACCTCACTGTAGGTGTTCATGGACTTGATGCTGGTCAGATGCTGAAGCCAAAGTATTCATATATTTATTGTAGGTCCTGCACAAAAATATGTTAATAAATATATAAGTCTGCAGACTTGTGGATCTGGTTTTTTTTTTCCCACTTCACACAATATTTTTAAGTACTAAAAGCGATTTTCCATGCAGAAATATCAAAGGACATGAATGAATATATATATATATACATATATACTTTACGTTACAATCCAAATAGACGTGTATGCTGACATAGCAAACAGAGAAGCTACTGGTTCAGACTGCTGTACAAATACCAGAGGCCAAATGTTGCTGCCCATCTACATTCTCATATGCGACCACAGCTCTGCTCAAGTTTTGTGATTTGAGTTGTTGATGTGCAAAATTTGGACTTCATGCTATGCTTAAATAATTAAATTTAGCAATTTATTAACACTTTACTCACCAAAATCCTGCAGCTTTTGACATGGTGAGCCACCAAATCCTCCTGTCCACTTGATCTGACCGAGGTACCAAAGAGGTGCTTCTCTGGTGTGAGCACAGGTCAGTAACGGGATCAAAGCGAACACAGTCAAACAATAGCCTGGCCACTAGTGTTAGTTGATGTGTATTGGAAACAAGAAAAATTGTTCTGTTAGATTTTAATTTTGAGTTTTCAAGATCCAGCAATCAACCAGATGTCCTTTAAGATGGAGATGTTTTTGCGTTGTTCGCATACATGCTACTGCAGTCAAATGTTTGAGTTAATAGTGATAAACCTGATGTGATGGTCAGGCAGAGGCATCACTGGCTCCAAATCATCTGGACTGCATTCATTGTAATTACTGTTTAGTGAAGACAGACATTCTAAGTGAAACTACTACATCTACCCACAAAACCTTCAAATGATCTTAATAGTTACAGAAAACAGAAAATACAACTGTGTTCAGAAGTTCTGCATCATTTGTATATTGCATATTGTGATGATTTCTGCTTGAACTGTACAGTGATTTATTTATTTATCGGGCACAATGCAATGGGGGACATGTACTGTGTCACAGATTTACATTGAAGTGCCAAACTCAACTGTAGTTTCTAGAGGTATTCCTTATGAGTTATTAACATTAATCAGTGTAAAGATCAGTGACAGAGAAGTAATTAAAATAAAAGGCAAATAAATTAATAACACAGCTGGGTATAAAGGTTTGCATACACTTGTAAAGACAATGTACTATATTTATAACTTGAGAGAGAGAGATTCAGTGATATCCACTTTTGGAGTTAGATCAGAGAGAGAAAGAAGGGTCGTCATAGTTAGGAAGGTCTGTACTGTTGGGGTGAAAAACAATCTGCCAAAGAAGTTTCCATGACAGTGTAGATGATGTATTCATTTACTTTATATTTTGCTTTATGTGTTTTTCAGGACAGCCCTGTCAGAACCAGTATATTAACTTGATCCAACATGCTGCTCAAATGATTGAGCTGATCTTGCTACAGGCAACATGAGCCTTCGTCTTTCTGCTGCACTCCTCTAATAGCACTGCTAAAAGGCTGGGACCGAGTCTGTCATTTTTTTTCACTGATGTTAGTGAATGAAGTAGCAGTAATGCTGCAAGTTAGAGGATAGAACAGTGCAGATGCGGATGTTCTCCACACTAGCTCTGTGTCATTCTGTGGTGGAGCTGCAAAAAGACTCCGTGAAGGATCTGGGTGAAAATAAATATGTGTCGGTTTCATTCTGCCTCAGAGCGGAGTCACACCTGAGGGGACCTTGTCCGTCACTGTGGTGTGACACTGAGCCACACCGGTAAAGCTTCTGTTGCCTTTTGTAAGTGCTTTAGTGGAATATCAGTGAAACAATTAATCTACAAGAGTGCTGTTACCATTATTGAGTGTTAATTTTAATTTTAGTTTACCAGGTAAAGGTCCACTGAAATTAAAATAAAAAATGCAAAAAATTAAATAAATAAATAAATGACTAAGGTTAAACAAATTGTCAGGGTGTAATATAGGTCCTTGAGCATTCTTTGTCCAATGATGAATAAAGGTCAAAAGAGGAGGACAGCTAAGGAGATAAACAGTTATTAAGTTCTATTTTATGTATTTATTGTCACTGACTCGTAAGTTGTGTTTTAAAGTGGAAACCCTTGAACAGGAAATGGATTGTATCAAGCTTCAATAACATCTGTTCTTTTATTACTTGTCATTTTGTTGAACTCTGTTTTGTCCATGAAGGTGGTTTAGAGGGTCTAACTGTCAGTGGTCGAGGTGGCAGCAGGTCAGATCTGATCCTCCAACACTTTCCTGCTCTGGAGCAGGTTGGCTCTGCAGCATTCGATAAAACGGAGATGTACTTTGTTTGAAAGTGAACCAGCTTTGTGATACCAGAAAACCAGCCCAAAGACGTCTGGGAAATTCACAAGTCTGACTTCATAATGGAGGCTGGTTGAGGAGACCTAACTAAAACTGTACAATTATGTGTCATATAAACAAAACAGTGAGCTAAAAGAAGCTACAAAGCTCCTTAAAGCTGAGGGAACTCTGTGAGTTCCAACAAACATACTGACTTGTGCAGCTGTAATAGCATGCTGTTTGCAGGGTGAGGGGAAGTGTTAGCTTGTTGCTGGTTTTACTGGTAGTTTTCTTAGATATGCCACGATCCTTGTGTGCAGTATAGTATGAACAGCATGCAGTGAACAGAAAACAGATTTAGAAAGTGTGAGATCACAAACAGCTTTGCTATGGACTGAAGGAGCAGGTGGCCACTATTAAAAGCAGATCCTTGAACTGGACGTGTTCTCAGCCTGTAGTGGGGGAGGAAGGGGGCTCATTGGGTGAATGCACACAAACAGACGGTCATCTCTACTATGTAGGTGGCCTCGGGATGACAACATGGGAATGGTGAGGACACAGAGAGACAACGTCCACATACCAGCCACAATGGCCAGCCAGACTCCTGTTACAGACGAGGTTCTCATCTCGCTTGCTCTCCTTTCATGTGTGGAACCTCACCCCGGCCAGTCGTCTCAGACCATCATTTTGTTTTAATTAATCCTGGAGCTGGGCTCTGTGCTGCAGGAAAGTGTAGCTGCACAGGCTCATATTGCATTCTTCTTTATTCCCAGTGACAATGCATCTGCACTGCATAAGGCCACATCAAGCTGCTCTTTGACAGCCTGAACTCCACAGCCAGAATAGTGAGGGCTCCTGCAGATGGAGTCCATGCATCTGTCTTTACCTGTCATAAAATCCTCAGAGGGATCCTTGTAAAGTACTTTTTTACCACATAATGTCACACTGAGGTGAACAATAGAAAAGCTCTTGCTCCCAACCACTGGAATGTGACGGGGTATTGCTCTTGCTGGGGCCAGTGGTAGTACAACAGTTACCACTGCCACCTCACTCAGAAGCCATGTTTTCAACTAACCAACCAGCAGAGACCTTTCTGTGTGCAGTTTGCATATTCTCCCCAAGGTTCTGTGGGTTAACTTAACATGCTCCTGTTAGCACTCCTAAACAGCTGCCAGTCAGCTCTTTGCTATTTGGCAGCTCTAAAGCGGCCATAGGTCTAATTGTTTCAACACGTGGACCAGTGTGAGCTGGAATAGACTCACACTAGGCAAACAAAAGCAGGTGGGTCTGAAAAATAAATGGTTCAGTATAAGTTTTTTAAAAAAGTTATCTGAGAAGACTTCACATCACCAGGGCCGCATGTAGTGTGCATGCAGCCTGGTGATTCTGTTCAGTGGACAATTTCTAGCTGGCCACACAGCTCTAATCTGTAAGGTGACAGATGTGACTCTGTGCTGAAGCCAGATTGAATTATTTTTCAGTGCTTTTGTCAT